ATTTGTCCAGTGTGCTGTTCAGTTGCATCTGAAGCACTTTGACTTGTTTTTAGCACTCTTTGGATTACCTCAGAATCCTCTAGTATTGTAGGATTCATTATAAGCTTTATCAAGTAGGGCAATCATGGCTTTAGCCTAATTTCTTTCCTTATCTATTTCTCATTTGTCCTCTACTTCATCACAGGTATTTAATTTTGTGAGCCCAGTTGAAGTTTTTGGAGCTTCTTCCTAACACCTGGACCTGACTTACTAATAAAGAACTGCCTAAAATAAACCTTCCTCCTATATACTCAGGTAGCACAACCATTGAGCCAAATCACCAGCCCTAGACTCAGTCTAAATTAGTGAATATACTTGGTGCCTTTTAAAGTTAAAGCTGAAAGGCAGCTGATTTCTCACTGGGACCCTGACTGATAGTCCTGAGTTTATCATAGTTCACAGGTTTAGACATACCTTGTCACATACCAGCTAAAATAGCCTGGATGTATAACTTTTGTTGGCCCTTTCCACCTCCTGTGTTAGAACACCATTCAGATTTCCCTGAGAACCAAAATAAGGAAGCAGTTGGCTGATTATGAGTCTAGATCTGTAAAGTGATCCTCATTGTACCACTTTCTACTGCTGTGTAACAAGAGAAGAGGATGTATTAGAAATCTTGCCAGGACAGATTAAAAGCCATTGTTAGGGTATGGAAACCATCAGTAAAACTTTCAGGATCCTCAAAAATCTAAACAAGTTTTCCTTGCATTGTTGAATTTCATAACTGTAAAAGGAGCTATAATCCTCACTATACCATTGGTACTTGCCACTCCTTGAAGGAGTAGAGCAATGGTGGGCCTAGATATTGAGTTTCCTAAATCTGGGACCCTATGGTAAAGAGCCCAAGACCTAATATGGGGTGGACTCATCAGATGGCCTTTATCTCCTGAGAGCAATGATTGAGAAGGTTGCTGAGGAGGTAGTCTGTGTGAAGGAGGAGTTGAAAGGAGGGAGTCCTCTGCAGCTGCTGTGGGATAATTACTATTTGCATATAGATCAGGTCTTTAGCAGAGAGCCATAAAAAATTGACTGTATGGAATCACTGACCATTTTTCTTATCCCTTGCAATAAAGATGTAATTGAAAAATGGCATTATATTTCAGGCTGCCAAGAGGTAAGTCGCCTCTTATTTTCCCCAAGTGGATGCATAGGCCAATTTTTATTACACAAGAATAAAATTGATCTATTTGAAGGGGCTTAGTGTGGTGACACTCATTCCAATGGTTAAGAAAACATCCAAGCAAGAATTCAGATGAAATAGAACTGGCTATTCCCATCTGCAGATGTAAGTAAAATTTAGGTTTTTAGGATTTTATCAGGTCTGTTCACTCAGTCTTCAATATCTAGGACCCAAAAGGGCCTCTCTTTATAGCCTGAGCCTTTCAGCACCAAGGGTGTGACCTGGCAAGGTTAAATTCCTTGGAATCTACCAGGCATGTCCTGGGTCTGGCCAACAAATAAATAAATGGAACACACCCTTATAGCAGAAAGTCAGAAACGGGGAGTGTGGACGAGAAAAGGAAAAGGGAAATTACTAAAATCTATAGAAAGGACTCACTTTTGGTGGGTGCATGATCCATGAGAAGTACAAACACCCTTCATGCTGAACAAAGAGCTACCCAAGTCCAGGGTAAAGTGTCCAAGTACTACACTGAAAAATACAAGAAGTTCAGGTGGGTCAGGTCCATGTCTTCTGTTCCCTTGTTGTGGCTGGCTATGTCAAATGATGTAAGAGATTAGGGAATGTCAATGTTCACTGGAAAAATAGGTATGACCTATTAATCACAAGACACCAGAAAACATACTTAGAACAGTTCACAAAATCCTCCACCTCATTAATTTCTCACTTGAACTTGAACAGGTTTTTGCAGGATGGCATAGACTTGACATCAGTCTCAGTTATGAAATCCCAGCATAGGCTCTCAGGACCTATATGTAGAAGTTGTCATGATTTTGCTTGAGATTTGGAAAGTGTGAAAGGGCAGAGATGCCAAAGAGCTTGCTATCATGGCTTTTGTCACAAAAGCCACCCCCCTTATTTTTCCATGGTGTACTTTGATCTTGCTTTGTCCTCTTCTGCTTGTTCCAAGCTCATTTTGCTGAGCCAGTTTCTAGCTCTTCACTTTACTTTTCCAAATAAATTTTGCCACTGCTTTTTGCTTGTTTTATTCAACTCTTTGTTTGATATGAGAAGAAGCAAGTATCCAACTCCAGGAGATGAAAGAAACCCAAAACCTAATAATGTTTGATTGGCAAGCCACTTGTAGAAGGAACTACCCAATAAAATTTTGGTGAGCTAGCCAGTTTTAAAGATGAGGTACTGGTGACCAAGTTATGGCCCACATTCAGAAAAATTTTTGTTTTTCTCCACAGCGCTTGTTTTTTAATCCCCTCTTTCCTCAGTCTCTACTTTAAGCTAAGAATCAGGGAACTTGTGCTACAACAACAGAGAGGGACTACCTGGCCTAGCCTTGGGGAGGGGAAAGGTAATGTGGGCTTTCTCTTTTTCTTTCTAGCTGAGTGTGCTCACTCCATAGATTCTTGTTACCTATGCTTTTGTTTGTTGTACTTTCTTACTCTTTTTTGAAATTAACCTGGTCTTTGCTTATCTCAGGATTATAAATGGCTTTTCAGTCTCAGTTTGTGTTACATTTATTTGCTACCATCTCCCTTTGAATATTAACCTGGTTTCTGCTTACTTCAGTTTTGTAAATGACTTTTCTCAGTTTGTGTTTTGGTGTAATGGTATGATTAAGGATCCCTCTCCCTTGTTTTTGGTGGCACCAGTAAATAGGCTTAAAGCCTCCATGTAATCATTCAGCTAGCTAAGATTAAGAGTGCCTCACCCTGGGTATGGGTGGCACTAAGTAATAGGCTGAGTCTGCATGAAAGCATGAAACTGGACAGGGGCTTACATCAGTCTCCACCATCTTTTTCTTTTTTTTAAACTAACTGACCTGACCTGATGAGCTAAGCCTCTGATTTTGAAGACCTAGAAAAAGGAACCTCTTTTATTTCTGAATTATTTTAACTGACACAGTTGCTCTTCCCCATATGGAAGAGAAAAATCTGTCTGTTTTATATTGAAATGCCCAAGAATTTTACTAAGGCAGGGCAATGACAAACAGAGCCTGTTCTAACTAGCTTTAACTGACCCACTTCCTCCTCTCTTAAGTCCTACATAAGCCTATGGTCTCCTGGCTCAATTTCTTCCTTGTTAAAGTGCAGACAAGCTAAACCTATGCCTGACAACTTGAACAGAAGAAATAGACAACATTTGAAATTCCTCTAAAGAGACAATGAGCATACAAATGCAGTCATCACCATTCATAGCCTTTTTTTTTATTATTGGAGCAAATGCTAGACAATTCCCCAGTTGGCCCCATACTCATTAAGTGAAGTTGTCATATGACTCAAAATGAAAGCTGAGGTATCCGGGGGATCAGAATATCAATAGAGTCATTAAGGGACTAAAAATGCAAGTTAGACCATCAAGGTGTTCACCTAAGTGGCTAAAGGAATTATGCTTATGGAAGTTTTCCACTTACTTCACTGGAGCCATAGAACTAGATAAGGCCAACAGTGGCTTCACCCCTTTCTCTTTGATGAGTTCATCCAAATATAGAGACAAAACTCTCAGGGGGCTTTCTTCTGTGCTTTATGATGCTGGCATTGCTTGGACAGTGATGTTTATCTAGTTTGTGTTAGAGTTTCACAAGGGACACTTTTTGGAACTGTGAAGAAAAGATTCATCTGAGACTTTCCATAATGTGGGAACTTGGAGACAGTCTCCATCCCACAGAGCAGTGGTCCCCAAACCCAAAGGGGCCATGGATACTTTGTTTGGGAGAGAATCAGCCATCAAAGGTAACCCTCCAGGGCAATCTCCCTAGTCAGCTCTGGTTCTGGATTGTCTGGTCTAATAGGTGACACAGGGGCCTGATCAACTCCCATAAGCATTTTCCATTAGGGTTCAGTTTAAGGAATGCTTATTTTGTCTGAATTCTGTTGTCAGTCAGGACCCTCTCAGAGGGGGAGGTGATATTTAAACTCTGTGATTGATGTAAGAGTGAGTGAATGATTGTAGTGATCAGTGAAAGCAACAGACTCTTTCACCCATGGCACATGACAAAGGGCAGGGTTACCCTTACAAGTTTTGATTGGGGTCAGACTGTGATTCTGTGAATGCATCTACAAAAAGCTAAGTGGGTGCTCTCATGACAAGAAATTCATTCTACTACCTGGACAGTTCTTAAAGTGGCCAAAAGGCCCACAGCCAGCTGACTTAGCATATGGCTTCTCCAAGAGGAAGGTCACCCCAACCCTTTTTCCATTCTCAACTCTGCTTAAGGGTACACCATACACCATAGTTCCCATGTCCTAGAGGTCATTCTTTCCAAAGACCATGGACCTGGGGTTTTTCTCAAGCTCTCTGCTGAATGCCCAACTCCAGAGGTGGTCTCACTTATCTATCACTTATCTTACTGACTTTGAGAGTGTCCATTCTGTGTGAAAAATGTTATTTACTGGGACTAGGACAAAGATGGTATGTGTGGGGTGGTACTGGGAGAAATTCTTTATCTCCCTGAATACTGCTCACATCATGTCTCCCAACCAAGGCCCTCTGATTGCTACATAAAATGTGCCTTTATTCTTGAAAACTGCCCAGACTCAGTTTCTGTCTCTTGGTCCACCTCTTTTGTCACCCCATCATGTCTCCCCACCCACTTCCTCCATATTTATTGGAGGAACATTATGTGTGGGGCCCAATTCAGTTACTCCGTTTTACAGATTATAGGCTCAATACATACATTAAACAACATGGGAGCTAATCAGACTAAGTCTGGGCCTACTGTCTGAAAATGTATGTTAAATTTTTTTTCAAAAAGGAATCCTAAACTTGGAGATGTGTCTCTTGACATCTGTTTGTGGTTTTGTTTGTTTGTCTGTTTTGATTTTAGGAGAAGGACCACCCTGATGAGGGCCCTCTGGACTGTCCCAGGTAGTGATGCCAAGTGGGGAAGTCCCTGGGTGATCGAAGAATGGTGATCACAGGTAAATGAGTGGTGGCTGAGGTTTTGTTTCATGTCTGGTCATGTCTTGTGTCCATGTCATCTGGGACCTAAATTCTTTTTGATGCTTGGTGAGAGAAAACTAAGAAGAATTAAGATAGAGTTAAGTCAGAGACTTGGTTTTGGTCAAAAGAATTGTCCATTTTGGCTTGGTTTTAAGTTTTTGACATCTCCTCCATGTCTAATCTCATCTTGTCACAAGATCAATTCCAGCTGTAGTTTTTGTGTCCCGGGGAATGATAAAGTTCTCCTCCTAATTCATTTCCTTTGTCATTTGCCTGTGTTCCCTCTTAAAAATGCCCCCCTTTGTATAATACCATAAAGATTTTATGAGAGGACCTCTCCTAAACCTTCATATTTGTTTTCTTATTAATTCTAGGCTGCAGTTATGTTGGGCCCTCAAGTCCTATAGATTTCAGTAACCCACCCCTGACTTTAAACTGATTTCTACCTTACATCAGTCTTGCCATGAGAGGCTTCCCTCCTTAGGGGAACTATGTATTCTAGGTGTCGTGGAGCTATTAAGGGATAAGGCTTTTGGGAAATTCATTTATTTTGAGGAATGGTGTTATCACCATTACCATGGTCATTGAAGGAATATTGAGGTCCAGGTTTTCAACCTGCTCCATACCCCAGCTTGCCCTGGTGTCTCATTTGTAAGGAAAGATTGACTGTGGTCCTTGCCGTATATAAGGGAGGTCTTTTTTTTTTTTGCCTATGTCAGTTTTGTCTCTGGGACAATTGGTGTCACTGGCACTCCCCTTGGAAATTCCTTTCTGCAACATCCTTGGGTTCTCCTTAACATTTAATGACCAACTTTTGGCCTATAGTTTGGCTTTTTGGATGTCCAGGACTCAACACAGATTCACCTGGATCTCACCATTCCTTGGACCAGGACTCCTCTTAAATTCAAGATTTCTTTTGATCCTTTTCTCGATTGCTTTCCTGATTGTGTTTCTTCTTCTTTCTTCTCCTTCTCCTTCTCCTTCTCCTTCTCCTTCTCCTTCTCCTTCTTCTTCTTCTTCTTCTTTCACTATGGGAGCTACCCAGGTTATATCCCAAATGCCCGTCCACTGAATATTGTCTCACATCTCTGAGGGTTTTTCTGGCCAATATGAAAAAGAGGCAGCTACACTCCCTATGTGAAATAAAGTAGCCCAGATGTAGTGTATTGTGATCCTCAGGCAGTCCACAGAGTAGGGGATGTAATGAATGGGAAACCAGGCCACCCTGATCAGTACCCTTATTTTGACTTATGGTTGTGACAACCCTTCACCCTCAGCTTTGTCTGTGAGCCTGTACCATGAATTGGCCTGCAGCATGGATCCTAGTCACCCACTCCTCTTCTGTGGTGCCTGGGACTCGACAACTGCTCCAGATCCTATGGCCATTGATTGATGAGAATGATAAACTGCCTACCCTATTTAACACCTCTAGATCTGTGGCTTCCTCTGAAGTCTCTTCCTTGGTACCCTTAGCCCTGGGGAAGTTTCATCACCAGCCCCCAGATCTTATCTGAGGTCTTGGGATCAGGCTGCTTGGTAAAGCTCCACAGCCCTGGGAAACAGCCAGCCACCTTCCTTCCCTTAAGACAGGTGCCCCCCTTGGGAAACTCCAACCATTTTTTCTCATATGTGTTCCCTTTTCTTCTGATTTGCAAAATTGGACATACCAAACTCTTCCCTTTTCTGAAAAACCTTAGGCATTGTTGGATCCCATAGACTCTGTCCTCCAGACCCACCTACCTAACTAGGATGACTGTCAGAAATTACTGACAACACTGTTTACTGGGGGAAAAAGGAAAAGGATCAAGGCAGGTGCTCAGAAATCTCTGGTCCCAGTGGGAAATCAGAGGAGACCCACCAGATGAAGATTAACCAGGTTTACCTTCCACTTAATCCAAGTAGTGAGCAAATATGGACAAAGGAAGGGATACTTTAAAAAATACAAGACTAATGGATGGGCTCCAGTGGTAGCTCAGAAGCCTATTAATTTGGCTAAAATCACAGAGGTAATTAAGGGGCCAAATGAGTCTCTAGGAGTATTCCTCAAGCAAATCTTGGAGGCTTTCCAGGTTTATACTCCTTTCTATCTATTGGCCTCTGAGAATACCCAGGTGGTAAATGAGGTCCTTGTCTGACAGTGCATTCTTGATATTAGGAAAAAGTTACAGAAATAATAAGAGTTTACAAAAATGAATACTTGCCAGTTGCTGAAAATAGCTCAGAAGGTTTATGATAGTTGAGATTCTGAAAAACAAAAACAAGCTGAGATAATGTCCAGAAGGCAAGCTTTTTCTAAAAGGCAGGCAAGGATTTTAGCTGAAGTCATAAGGGGCCAACCAGCAAGGCTAGACAAACAGGAAGAAAAGGTCAAGAAGAGGCAGCCCCAGTAAGGAAGGGATCAGTGTGCTAAGTGCAAATAGGTAGGACATTAGAGGAATGAACATATACTGGGAAGGAAGGAAAAGAATTATTAGTGCTAGTTCTCCCTACTGAGGGAGAAAGGAAAGATTGATGGGGCCAGGGCTCCTTTGCCTTGGTCTCCAGGAGCCCATGGTCACTGCAATGGTAGGGGCCATGCTCAACTTGGTTACTAATAGACACAGGAGCTACAATTTCTGTTCTAAAAGTTTCATCTGGGCCTTTTCTCAGGCCAGGCTGACACTATCTAAGGAGTCACAAGTGAAAACAAGAAATATCCAATGACTGTTGAAAGGACTGTGGATTTGGGACATAAACAGGTTTTGAATTCCTTCTTGCTGGTACCTGAGTGCCCCTTCCCTTACTAGGTCATGGTCTGCTCCAGAAATTAAGGGCTACAATATCCTTCACCCCTAGTGGACCTCAATTGACCCTTGCCTCCAACCCAAATTTGGTATTGATCACTGTCTTGGCTTAAAAAAATCTGATGTTTCCTGACACAGAAATGATACCCCTCCTAGTTCTCTTTTGCAGCATCTATAATCTGAATATCCAGGTGTCTGGGCTAAAACCAAATCCCTGGGCTGGTGGCTCATTACTCCCCCAATAGTGATAACTCTTCTGGGAACAGCCACTCCAATCACAGTGCAGCAATACCACTGGAGCCAGAAGGCTAGACCTAAAATTGATCCTAAAGAACGGAAACTCTTGGAAGCAAGTATATTAATTCCAAGTACCCATGGAATACTCCATTCTTTTCTGTCCAGAAACCTGGAACCCAGGATTACCAGCCAATAAAAGACTTGAGAAAATTAAGTAAGTTGATGGAGACTATCCATCCTATGACTCTCCAAATCCTCATACCCCATTGATCTGTTGCCTCTAGAACATCAGGTCCACACTGTATTGGACCTGAAAGATGCTTTCTTCAGAATCCCACTGGCCACCTTGAGTCAGTCAATCTTTGGTTTTGAATAGACAGATCCACTGACAGGGGAGATAGAATAACTCATATGTACCCATCTACCACAGGGTTTATAAAACTCTCCCATTCTTTTTGGAGAGGTGCTCCAATGGGACTTAACTGAGTTCTGAGTGAACCATCCCCACTTGTCTGTTGTTCAATGTATGATGATTTACTCCTTGCAGTCAAGACCCAAAGGATTTTATGATGGAGACAAGAAATCTGCTTGGTACCATGAAGCAATTGGCATGCCGAGTTTCAATGAAGAAAGCCCAATTTTGTCAGGAGGAAATTGCCTATCGAGGCTATAAATTATGCCAAGGTAAGTGTAGCCTCTTCTTGGCATGGAAACAAGCCATCCTACAAATACCTGTTCCAACCACCAAGAAACTGGTACATGAGTTCCTAGGGGTTGTAGGGTATTGTCAGATACTCTTGGCCCTTGCACTCAGCCACTGCTGGAGGGACTGAACCATTAAAATGGACTGCGAAAAACAAGAGGCATTCCAAGCTTTAAAAGAGACCCTGATGTTAGCTCTGGTTTCGGCATTTCCATGCATAACTAAGTCATTCAGACTTATCTTACATAAGGCCAGGGGCATAACAAAGACGGTACTCACCCAAGAGAGAGACCCCTGGAAAAGGCCAGTGACCTATTTGTCAAAAAGACTGGACCCTGTGGCCTATGGGTGGCTCTCCTGCTTAAGGACAATGGCTGCTAAAGCTATCTTGGTACAAGGATCTAATGTGTACACACTGAGCCAAGAGCTATGGATAACTGCCCCACATGCCACGGATGTATGATCTGAGGGGCCGTGGATTATGGGATGTCAAATTCCCATATCACCCAGTACCAAAGCCTCCCCCTCATTCAGCCCAGAATCTTTCTGCCCCACTCACACCATAAATCTGGCCACCCTGTTACCAGATGACAGCCCAGGAAAAGTGATCCATAACTGCCAGGACTTCCTTGATCTCACCCAAGCCTCACAGCCTGATCTTCGAGACACGCCCCTGGATGGAGTGAAAATGACTCTGTTCTCAGATGGAAGCAGCTTTGTGGAACAAGGGGTCAGTATACCTGGAGCAGCACCCACTACCCAATGGGAGGTCATGTGGACCTAAGCCCTCCCTGCAGGAACCTCTGCTCAAAAGGCAGAACTGATAGCCCTCAAACAAGCCTTGCGATGGGAAAGATGAAAGAGGATCAATGTGTACATGGACAGCAGGTATGCATTTGCCACCATTCATGTTCAAGCCATGCTGTACAAAGAATGGGGACTTTTGACATCAGCTGGGAAGGAAATTAAAAATAGAGAAAAATTCTGGCTTTATTGGAAGCTGTTTGGTTCCCCCTGGAAATAGCAATGATGTGCAACAGAGGACACCAAAAAGGACACCCAAGACAGAGAAACTGACTGGCTGATTGAACAGCCTGTGAAGCTGCCTAAGACCCTATGGAGGCTATCAAAGCCCTTACTGTATTGTCATATCCACCTACAGTATTGCCAAAATACCTCACTTACTCCCCAGAAGAAAAATCAAGCTAAAGAAAGTGGAGCCACCTTCAACTCCCAAGTATGATGGGAAAGGGGGGGATAGGAAGATCGTCATGCCAGCTACCATTAGAAGAGAACTAGGTCAGCAGCTCAACTGCACTACACACTGAGGAAAAATAAAATTGGCTGATCTCCTGTCTTCCTAGTTTTTCATTCCCCATCTCTATGATGAAGCTTGCTCAGTGACAGTGCATTGCCCAGAGTGTCCTCAAACGAATGCCAAGCAAGATAGGAAAAGGGAAATGGGGTCAGGTTATGTGGGTTAAGCCCAGGAGAGAATTGGGAAGTATACTAAAGCCACCTGCAATAGGGTATAAATACTAATGGTGATAGACACATTCTCAAGGTGAATGGAAACATGGGAACAAAAAGAGAAACTGTACAAGTAATAGCCAAGAAGCTGTTGTAGGAGACTGTCCCTGGCTGTGGGCTTCCAAGTAGTATAGGATCAGATAATGGACCCACTTCTACATCAGCAGAAACACAGTCAATAGGTAGAGCCTTAGGGATGAAATGGAAGCTCCACTGTATATATAATCCTCAGAATTCATCCCAGGTACAGCAGATAAATCAGACACTTAAAACTACTATCCAAATTGATTTTAGAGACTGTTGAGAAGTGGCTCAACCTCCTTCCTTTGGCCCTCCTTCATGCATGTTGTACTTCTTACAAGGCTAGATATACTCCTTTTGAGATTATGTTTGGCAGGCTTCCCCCTTGCTTCCATGAAACAAGGACCCCATTTTGGCAGAATTAACTAATGAATCCCTATTAAGGTTTTTACCAGTGCTTCAATAAGTCCAGGAAAAAGTCCATCATAAGGTACAAGAGGTCTTGCCTTAAAGTTTCCATTTCCTACATCACGCATCACTGGTCATAAATAAAAACCAGCATATGAACAAGGCTTGTCTATATAAGGAAGCAATGTCCAAGAATGGCCCCCTAGTGGCTGCCCATGCAGGCGACATGATCCCCAACCTACCTGCACTAGTCACCCACTATATAAACAAGCCCCTTCCCTACGATTTCCTCTTTAATAAAGATCTCTCATACTAGATCTGTCAGTGTGCAGAGTGATCCTTGGCAGATGACAGTTTCTTTCATTGGTGCTGTGACTCAGATTGGGTGCTAGCCAGGTAGCACAAGATATACAAGACCAGAAGCCCTAAGTATATAAAAAAGGTGTAAAAAATGATTTAACAAAAACATATATATGTTTCCTTGTTGGTTTCAAGTTTGTTTATAAAAGATTTATATTTACAGTCATAAAGAGCTTTCATTCCTTTTGATTCTGATCCTACAAGAGATCTCTGTTAATTTTGGCCTGCATATGTTTTGACTAGTTGTAACTAAAAAAGATTTTCTAATTCAATTAGCAAAATGTATTTGAGTGGCACTAGTTTCATAATTTGTCTTATATGTTTGTCTGTGTCTAAATGTTTAAAAGTGTTTGTTTAATTGTGCTTTTTGGTCGAAATGACGTCAAATATTTAGATAGATTGTTAATTTCTACAACCTGGTTTTGCAGGTTAAATTTTAAAAAATTGTCAAGATAATTACAGATAAACTTTTAGGTTTGGGTACATTCTTGTTGGTAAATAAAGAAGCAGCTTCTCACAAGAATTTATTTTGGTCTTTGTTCACTAATGGGAGCCCCAATAATTTGCATAGCCTAATGAAAAGATATGTCTCATTAAACATGTCTTCATAAAAAGTTTACATTGATTATCATCAAAGGGTTGTGTTCTAAATATGTTATTGTAATATGTTTATGATTGTCATCTTAAAAATATAATATTTTCTGTGAAAAAACAAAGAGTTACTAAAAAAGATCCTTTTAATACCAAGCTACATTACAGGACATAAGATTTCATATAATTGCAACAATTATTATTGCTACTTTTCTAGTGTACAAAATATATTCATGTTGTCTGACCATGCAGTTCTTCCAACATATTGTTTATGGCAATAACCTTTTGCTTTAGGTACTCACCCTTTTCTTCTGCTCCACCTACTCATGATTACAGGTACATTTGTAGGCCCATACACTTTTCTTAGATGACATCCTATCAAAAGTTAATAACTTAAGTAAGTTTTCTGGGTATTTTTGGTTTGTTTTATGGATTTTACAAAAAATAAATAAATTTAACAATAGCTATTTTATACTAAGATACATATCTAGTTTGTTGCAAAGATAATGTCATCATGATTGTCATGCTAAAATATTATTATGTGTGGCTCCTGATTACAAGTTTTTTCTGTTAATATTTTACAGGAAATCAACCACTAAAACAACCATGACTGATAAAAATAATAGCCCTCTAACTGTATTTTAGATTCTAGGGTGCTTGCTATCTAGATGAAGTTAGGACAGTTAACCTCCTACTGTACTACTGATGTCACTGATCTTTTTTACTGGGTGTTCAACCACCAAAGGGCAAAGACCAACATAACTGGGCTAAGAAGACCTGCAACATTTTAGCCCTGGCCCTCCAAGTTCATCAAAGATCCAAGATATGAAGGAGCCTTTTCTAAAATATCTTACATCTTTGGTAAGTCACTCAACCTCCTGAACAGGGAGATTGCTGGACACCAGAGGACAACTGTAATGTGTGCTACAGGAGGGTCACCAAAAAAACCCAAAATCTCCCATGCTTTTCTCTAAAAGCAACATGGTCAAGCAAGGTCATGACCCATCCTAATGGCTGACACTGACAAAAGAGCTGAGAGGCTCTCTAAATGGTTCCAAAATAATGCCTAAAGAGACTTAACCAACCTTGACAGATAGCAAGAGGTTCATAGTGATTAACATAGGTCTCACTTTAACTTGGTCTTAAACACCCAACAGAGAAGAATAATCAAGAGGCAATTAATAAAAAGACACTAGTGATAAGGGAGGGCAGGGGTAAGGGGAAAAAATGAGAATCAAGACTTGTCATGTAGAGGTACAAGATCCCAACAATGAATGTAACTGTACTGTATCCCTAAAATGTAGTGATAAACTCAATTAAAGCTGAAAAAAAAGACACTAGTGATACACTTTTGAGGCTCATCACACCACCTCCCTATAAAGGGATAGAACTCCAAGTGGTAAACCAGATAACCCAGTCTCAAAACAAGGCTATAACACCTATTTAATACCACCCTCTAACTATCTCCCTGATAATAACTCAGACTGTTAGATGTTTATGTCTGTTTATCCCCACTCATTCACTCTAACTCCCATCCCCCTAGATTTTAACCTGTCTGTCTCAAATACTGACAATTTATCTCCAGGTCTGAGACAGTACGCTATGGGTCTCCCATTTCCTACACTAACCACTAACCTGACATACACAGCGCAAAATGACAACATCACTTGCCTTGCTTACTCCCTCTTTATCTCAGAAGAGCACCCTGTCTGCCTATCCAATGGCCTATACTTCATATGCAGCTGGGAGGAACTCCAATGCCTCAACTGATCTAAAATTTTCTGTTACATATCATTTCTCAGCCCCACCCTTGATCATCTATATGGAATCCCAGATGTTTAAAAGGATCCTCCCACAGTCAACGGTCAACAAGAGGGTGGCCCCCTTCCTGGTCCCCTTCTTGATAAAAGTGTGGGTCCTCACTGGCATGGCAGTGTGTATAACATGTATTTCTACCCCTACACATTTCTATCAGGCATTGTTAGTAGATATCTTAAAAAGGGATAGACAACATAAGCCAAGCCCTAAACACAGTCCAGGATGAGATTAATTCCCTAGCAGCTTTCCTGTTCCAAAATAGATGTGCTCTTGGCTGAGCATGGTGGTGCATGTCTGTAATCCCAGCACTCAGGAAGCTGAGGCAGGAGGATAGATATGAGTTTGAGAAATGCCTGGACTCCATAGTGAGTTCCAGCTCAGTCTCAACTACATCTTGAGACCCTGTCTCAAAAAATCAAACAAACAAACAAAATAGATGTGCCCTCAACATGCTAGCAGCAGCCCAAGGGAAAACATGCCAGGCTCTAGGTAAAGAGTGTTATTTTGTTAACCAATCAGACATAGTCAAGACAAAGGTTAAAAATTACAATACATCAATAACCTTAAAAACAATGGGCTACATGAGGAATGACTCAAGATTACTCCTGGTTCCATCAGATTATGCCATGGCTACTTCCCATATTGGGCCGGCTGACCTGCATGTGTCTTCTGGCCATAATAGGCCCCCATCTGTTTTGCTATTTTTTAAATTTAATTTATTGGTACATTCTAGGTAGACAACAGTTACATTCATTACTAGGATCTTGTACCTTTACATGCCAGGTCTTTCCCCTCAAACACTTTAATTCCATTTTTACATTTTCTCATATTTTTTTCCTTTTCCCTTGTTCCCCCTTCCATATCCTTCTCACTGTCCCTACACCTTTGGTCCTTTTCTTCCTATTTGTTAAGTGTCCCATTAGGATCTTGAGTACTATTTTAGTTTTTCACACTAGAGATACTATTCGGTATTTGCATATGTGTGCCTTATTTATTTCACTAAGAAGTATATGCTATTTTAATTATTGTAAAATAGATGTGTGAGTTCTAGCATTGGTATTCAAGTTTGCTCATTTGTAAAAAATATATATAATTTGCCTTTCCATGGGTTTTATCTTCCTTCTGTATCTACAAGCCAACTGGGAGTTAATTTGTTTCTAAAACAGTACAAGTAATTTTTTTGTTTCACTTACTAAGTAAATGGGTCTCTGTATCTCAAGGTTGCATATTTTTCTACATTTCTTTTAAGGCAGAGATAAAACTCCAGGGCTACAAGATATAATTGGCTATTTTTATATCTCAGATGTCATTGGACATGATAAATAAACTCTGTACATGACTCTTGTTTACATCCTCATTCTGGCCAGTCTCCCCCTGCTTACTCCAATTCCTCCAAGATCAAATCCAAAAAATTTCTAATAAGATGGTCAATCAGCTTATCTTACAGGAAGTGACCACTTCACCAGCCTGCCTTCTAACTAAAGCCCCATGGCAAAGATTCTGCTGTGGTTTATTCACTTCATAATTCAACTACAAGATGTCCATTGGTTCTGTCCTCAAGAAAGATCAGTAGGTGGGATCTTAGATTGGTCAACAGAACACTTCTACCAGAAAACCCTCTGAGATTTTAGTTTAAAAAAAATTACCTTCTATATAATTCTCCTTATCTGCTGGCTTACATTCCCACCCCCGCAGCTACGAGTTGAGCCATTTGACTCATTTGACTTTTTGACCCCAAAAAAGTCCCAACACCAAATGTGAAACATACAGTTCTTTTTATACATCTCACAGCAGTAGCTTCTCCTACTCAAAAGTACCTGATCTGCTGTTTGTCATACTCACCCAAAGATTGCCCTTCCTGCACTGAGTATATCATCTCTTCCTTAGATTCCTCAGGGCAGAGACAAGGCAATTTAGTTGTACTCCCAGGATACTGCCGTTCCCATAAAAAAGAGTTTGTGGTCCCCAATTGGCACCTGGGAAACATAAGTCATGCTTGATTCTCACCCAACTTCCACACTAGAGTTTTGGTCCATCTGTTCTGCCATCCAGTCACCTTCTCAGTTATACATGATCCCCGATTTAAAAAAATGCATTTAACTCTTTGGCAGTGCTATTATCTTTTGATTATTGCCAGGAAATGCCCCTTCTACCTGCCATATATAAATATGATACTTTCGGGATACATCTAACTCAATTCTTTCTTTGCCACTTCAGGGCCCCCTCCCCATGGTTGTGCTGCCCCTCCAGCTACTACACACACCTAGATCAGCCCCCACCACTCAACAATCTTACCATCATTGCCCTCCTTAAAGCTCCTAAATAAGCGGCCCTCCAACAGTTATGTCACCCCTGCAAGGGCAAGAGATGATAGACTAGAGATCCCTCCCTCAGCCTCTCATTACCCCACACCTGCCCCTTTTCAGCAGGAAGTAATTACAGAAGAGAAGAGAGATACTTCACTCCTCTTTCTGAGGCCATAACAGAAAAAGGGGGGGATGTAAGATAAGTACCTTGAAATGGCTGCTGCCATTCTGACAAGTAACTTCCTTCTTCACTTTAAAGTTTCCATTTCCTACATCACCCATTGCTGATCATAAATAAAAACTGCTGCACAAGCAAGGCCTGTCCATATAAAGAATAAATGTCCA